TGATAAGAGTTAACTTGAGTTAACCTGATTTGTTAACCTGAGTTCCTAGTATTGTTTGCAAATGAAATGCCCTGCAAACACTGAATAGCATTCTTAAAATGAGGTACATGTTACATTTCCTAATGATAAAAGTAACTAAAAGCCTGGCATGGTGGCACACGCATTTAATCCCAGTGCTCAGCAGGCAGAGGCAGGCAGATCTCTGTGAGTGCCAGGCCAGCTGGGGCTACAGGGAGATCCTGTCTCAGTAAGACAAAAAAAAGTAAATAAAGTCATCCTTATTTCTTCTGTTTATTTATCCATAAATGCTCATGCTAAATACCTTCAATGGGGAGCTGGAGAGATGGCTCAGCTGTTAAGCATAACAGCTGCTCTACCAGAGGACCAGAGTTTGGCTGCCAGTATCCAAGACAGGTAGCTCACAACCTTTTGTAATTCCAGCTCCATGAGTCCAACACCCCCTTCTGGCCTCCTTGCACACTTGCATGCAGCTTTGCAAAGACACACACACACAAATAAATAATAAATGTTTTTAAAATTCCTTCAAAGGAACTTTGCTTTATTTTTTTTAATTACCTTAGATTTTTTCCACAGCTTTTATAATGGTCTTCAATATTCTCATCTTCACATTTGTTTCCTAAAATGTAGTCAAGGAAAATTTATAATGAATTAGAATTCCTGAAACATTAGTTTGTCATTTAGTGTATATGAATAATGCCAGATTTATACATCATGCTCTTCCTTTATATTATTCTAAATCACAGAACATCAATACCAAAACACATGTGTTCCTTAATATACTAAGGTAATGTAAAATGGTATTCTTACCTATAAAAGTGAAGTTCCTGCAGGTTTCCAGCATCACATCTCTGTAGAGATTCTTCTGCGAAGGTTCCAGCAAAGCCCACTCTTCCTGGGTGAAGGTCACGGCAACATCCTCAAATGTCACAGAATCCTAAACATTCCATAGATTCAATTCATAATGTGTTCATACAACTCTGGGCATCACAGACTTTGTACTATGACACAGAAGTTCTAATGCAAGTTTTGAGTTGTTCTGAAAGGACAGAGCACTGGAGGGACATTGCTGCTCTGTCTCAATTCTTTCTACAACACATGTCTACTTCCTGTCTTAATAAAGTCTGACCACCTGAGCTACAGAACAGAGGTAAATTAGCATGCAACAGCCTGCTTATGCTTGGCCTTAGAAATTCCTGTTCACAATGTTTTAAGAACATGAAGAAATTTAACATTTTTTATGAGCATAAATGTTAAATCACCTAGCATAAAGGAAAGTCTATAAACCAACTCACAGAGAGAACTAGGCATGCAGGTCATCAAGGGAGAGTCATCATCAAGGGAGAGACTAACAAGTGCCAATTATGGGGTCAAATTGTCCCAAC